CAGCATCAAATATGCATGCAGTCTATGTGTCGGACTTGGACAAGCTCGCACTGTCCACAGTGAAAGCAGTTTGTTGTCCCAACAACAGTGCAACAAACCGATGTGCTGCTACTGAATGGGGAAGACAAAATGAAGAGAGAGGGCAAACACAGTACAGACTGCAGACTGACAAACATCACTGTGGCTTTGAAATGAGTCAGTGTGGGTTTATCATAAACCCAAACTTTCCTCAGGTTGGAGCATCGCCGGATGGGATTGCGCAGTGCACTTGCTGTGGAAAAGGCTGTGTCGAAATAAAATGCCCTTACAAGTATTGTGACACTACTGTTGAGGAGGCATGCAACAGTGGAGACAAAAACTTCTGTTTGGAAATAGTGGATGGAGAGCTGCAGCTTAAGAAGGATCATCCATATTACAAACAAGTACAGACGCAAATTTTTGTCACAGATGCTGAGTATTGCGATTTCGTTGTGTGGACTCTGAAAGACTGCATGGTGTTGCGTGTGGCACCTGACCCACAACTCTGGAGTGCTCTCTTGAAAAAGGCACAGCAATTTTTTGAGTGTGTGTCTCTCTGAACTGGTGAGTTGCTACTTCACTTGGGGTGCAAGACGGGCACTTAATCAGACATGCTACCAGTTAACCATCCCATCAGATCTCTCAGATCACAAGAGGAAATCTCATGCATTGATAAATGTTTGTGTTATTATGCATTTTTGCTGTTTACCTTTATCTTTAAAATCATTCACTTTGTAATGTTTTGATATAAGATGATAAAATAAAATACACACTGATTTAACATGAACAGATTAGCCCAGACTGCCCTCCCTCTTTACCTGTAGTTTACAAGTGATGCTAGCTAGCTAGCTAAGGTTAGCCAATGTGAAAATAGCGACTTTAGAAAGCAAAAACCAGCATATTTAGTAACATTACTTAAACAAAAAAACAACTCTCTTACTTGCCTTTATGAAAATGCCAAGAGCAAACACGCATGAAGAGAGATATGGTGTCGAAAGTGATGCCCTTCCGTCTCACCGCTGCGACCCAGGCCATCTGACGCCTCTTCGTTATTTCCTCAACCTGCTGTCCATAACCTCTTTTCCAAGTGGGAAACCGAAAAAATCTCACGTTGTGGTCAACTTTTCTGCCATTTCTTTCGTGTGACTTAGTATGACAGCCTTTCACACAACACAAGTGTCCCATTTTATCAAAGATAATGCCACACGCAAAGACGATGTTCACTGTTGAGTTGTTTACAACGAGTGACCCTCCAAAATGGCGATTCGACTCACAATACACTGCGGCTGTCACAAGCGTTACGTCACCTGACAAAGACCGATAAACTGTTATTGTTTTGTGAATGCATCCTATATGTATAAACCAATAATTTGGCCAAAAATTGTATTGCTGTGTAGTGTCATATAATATATTAATGGCAAAAGGGGTAATATTCGTGTTCTGTGTCACTTCTGTGCAAACCAGTCACATGGTACAGCCGGGCAGCAAGGCTTCGGACGTCATCAATGACGTCACTCGTCTGAAACGCTACAAGCCTCAATACGCACATCGCGGAAACTCTTCCTGGATTACTCGACACACGCTTCGAAGCATCGGCACACCACGTAACATCACTACTTAAAATCAAACCTCATCTTTGGTGAATGACAAAAGCCACAGACATGTGAGCTTGTGCAAACGAGAAGTACACAGCTTGTCTTTTTTTTTAACTTTGTTTCAGCTTGGCTGCTAACTCAGAAGCTAACTGATGTCATCACGTGATACGTGCCTCTCTCCGAGCATTCTGGGTAGTGAAGTCCCTTTTAATACAATGGCATTTTACTTGGAAATAAACTTGTGTACTTATTACCTCAAACTCAAATATTGAAATGAAATGCACAGTCTTAACAAAAAATTTACCACATTAACTGAACATGAATATTAAAGGTAGGGTCTGGATGATTTTCAAACAAAACAAAATATAGACATATACAAATGAAATCCTGCTTAATCAGCACCTATGGGCTTCTACTCATGTGTGGTGGTGACTCTGTTTGCAGAGCTCCTGCCCTTTAACTGTATGTTGATGTTTTTGTGAACTCAGACCGCTTTTGGGTGGAGATTTCCCCAGCCAATGAGAGAGCACAGGTGCCGTGCCCGAGCGTGTCCGAGCGTTTCCGAGCGTGCACCAGTGCGAGCCTTGCCTGAACCTCTTCTGTGAAGCCATTTTCCGTACCTCCCAGCTCCGTACACCCGGGAGAAATGGCGGATACAGACGTACCCACGAAGAAAAGAAAATTCAACGTGAGTGAGGCAAAATGCCGAGCCGATAAAGCACGGACCAAAACTCATGTTAATATCGGGGTGGCTTTCACCCGCTTTCAAGCATTGAAGGAAAGGCTCGGGATGTACAGCGACACGGAGTTGGCCTGCTTTCTGTTGGACAGGTAAGTCCCAAATACAGGCCTGTTAGCTTGTGCTAGTTTGCTAATTTATCAACTTTTCCATTACTACAACTGTAATTCCTACGTAGTTTGTTGTGGAGGCTAATTCCGACTATCAACCGATGCAAATAACATTACGTTTAGCTAATATATGGCTTGATGTAGTGTGAGGATAGAAATTTGAATCATTTTGTGTAACACACAAGTCACATCGGGTTATGGTAGCACCCCCAAACCAATTTTGTAAGGTGACTGTAGGAGACATAGCCAGCAGAAGTTTTGTTAATTTGTGCATTCACGTCTGTAACCTCAAATATAGTGTAGCGTCCGCCAGGACGTGTAGAATGATGACGCGGTTATTCGGCAAACCAGCCTTTATTGCTTCACAGTACAGGTTACTGTTGGCCATAACCAGACCAAAAAAACAACAAAACAATAACTTAGACGTAACGTTAGCTCACAAACCATGTACTCCTGTTCTCCCCTCCAGCTCGCACCCAAACACACAAGCAAGCGCTCTCACACAGCTCTCATCCCCGTCACACTCGCACCCCGCCCCCCTACCCATACTCATTCAATCCCAAACACACCAGAGTACAACAGAACATTCACTGCAGGGTCGCTACAGTAGTTATGCAACTTGCATGCATACTTTGAAGCAGCACAATGTCTGGCCGCAAACCTTGTTTTGCTAACTTGCAGGCCCGTTCCTGAATGCTAAGTATGAAAATAACTGTTTGTAGTGCATTTTATTTATGTCGCTGAAGAACTGATACAACCTACGTGTTTTCCTCCCATCTTTCCCATAGCTATGAGAAGGGCCCCCCAACTTCAACACCCCAAAAGCGTCTGTTTTCCCTGTGCCTTTATCCCCCATTAAACCTGGACCATCTGATATGTAATTAAGGTAATATATATCTATGTAACTGCAGTATTCATTGCTTATGAGCTATTTTCTATTTATGTTTTCTGTCATTGCCTGTCAGCTCTTACCTAATAAAAGTACACTTACAGAAAGACCTAATGAATGGATGAAACTATTTTTCTCCACAAGGGAAATTTGTTACCACAGATGTAATTAGAGGATAAGTAAGATTGAAAAAATGGATAAATAAAAACATACCTCTGTGAGATATGACATACAGTAGCAACACAGATACTGTATGTATTATTTTACTGAAAGATTGCCCTAGAGAAAGAACAATCTAAAATTTCATTGAGCGAAGGATAAATGTTCAAAAATTATGATGATAAAAGTGAGCATGACGACTGTCCAATAATGCTCCTGTCATTTACATGTATGTTTTTTTAAACAGACAAACGAGCAACATAGAGCCTCTTCCACCTTCAAGTGCAGAGGAAGGGGAACCAATGGAGTGCTTGGAAAAAAGGTTGGCCTAGTTTTAATTTTGCTCGCATGCATTACTATGTCCAGATATTACGGTTACTAACCACAAACTGTTTCATCCCTTTAGTCTGACATCCATGACCATCCAGGAGTCCAGTGTAGAGGAGGACCATTATAACAGCCTCATGCATACTGTGTAAGTCTGATTTTTTATATACATTTCATGTTGTGGGTCCACTGTATTCTGCATGCAGTACTTTGGGTGGCATTTGTATAGTAGACTTTTAAAATAAGCATAAAAACATAACTGTAATGTTACAGTGTTACTAAATGTTACTTTCTCTCATATTCATCATGTATCTGAAGCAAACTGTGTTATGTATATAGGATTTGTTGGTCGGACGAAGTCACGCTAACTGCTGATGAGGGACAAGATCTGGAGGAAGAAGATGGTGGTGAGGTCTCCTCTGATGATGACTATGTGCCTCCTATTGCTTTGAGGTTTGTTTCTACATTATGACTTACCTTATTCTCTAAATATCACTGTGATGTAATGTTCATAGAGAGGCATTTCACTTGTGTCAAAACAGGACAGGTGGTGCTCTCCAGGCAGCTCAGGTAAACCTGGATGCATTACCAGCTTTCGGGCTGGATGACAGTCTATGGCACCACTGATGACCCTGAAGACGCAGCTGAACAAGTCCCAGTCACAGATGCAAAAGAAGCCCAGTATGATGACATCATAGGTCAGCCAGCCTACATTGCATACCAGAGCAGTTTGAAGACACTCTGTTCATTCGTTGTGCTGCCAATTGATAAGTGTCCTATCAAAGACTGTGTCAGCCAACCACCCTTTGAGGTCAACATCTCCTCAAGAGGTTCAGCAGCCATTATCGACTGGGTCGTTTTTTTGTTTTTATCTAGCCTGCAATAACTCTAAAGAGTAAAATATACACTTATTTGCAAAGCTTGCATTGTGGCATTTACATTGTACTGATTTCATTTTGTTCTATTATTTCATTTATTTACTCTTTATCTAGTTGTATTCTTTATATATAATGTTACAGGTCTGTTCAGAAGGACACACTGTCTGGACATGGAATTCCCAACCTAAACTGAAATACAGTACGCAGGCAGGAGATTTCATGTTCGCAGACAATATTCTGCTCTCTGGAAATAATTTTGCAAAGGTGCACCTACTGTTCAAATATATGAACATGGGCATCGTTAGTAGAAACACATTCTTCCAGACCAGAATGCCTACTGCGTGGATGCCATTAAAGTTTTTTGGATGGAGGAGAGGGCAGCAGTAATCCAGCGGCTTGCTACACAAGAAGGTGTTGTGGCCCTTGGTGAGAATTTCTAATTTATTGGTAGCTAACAGTTATGTGTCACATTGTCTTATAGCTGTATGTTATTACCACAGGGCTCATTAAAATTATGTCTAAGAATGTATTTTGTTTGTTTTGTCAGCTGATGGAAGAATGGACAGCCCTGGTCACTGTGCACAGTATTGCACCTACACAGCCATGGACAATGAAAGCAAGGACATCATTTCGGTGATCACAGTTGATAAACGAGAAACTCAGAGAAAGTCTGTCCTAATGGAGAAAGAGGCCTTTATCAGGACCATGGATATTCTCATGAGTGAAGTCAACCTGAAAGAGATTTGTACAGATGCGCATGTACAAATCTCTGCACTTATGAGTAAGTGCAATACGCCAAGCCGATGTATTTTCATGGATAAAAGACTCTCAAGTAATGCTTTTCTTTCATCTGAAACAGGCAAGGGAAAAAATAAGGACACTGGCATATTTCACAGTCTGGACATGTGGCATGGTGCCAAAAGTTTTGCAAAGACGATTGTGACAGTAAGCCATGATGCATACACACATGCATTATTTGTTGAATGTCAAATGTAGCCCTTTCATGTGAATACTTTTTAATGAAAATCATTATGTTTGTTGCAGGCAGGACAGCAACGCGGCATGAACATTCTCCTTCTATGGGTCAAGGACATTGTAAACCACTTTTGGTGGTGCTGCAAAAAAGCAACAACCCATCTGCAGTTCATGGTAAGAACACAATAGACACACATAGACATTATATTGAAGTTCACTGTGCATTATACTTTTGGGCTGTTATACTGTACACACCTAGCCTACTAATAATGATCCGTTTTTACAATGTATTGTTTAGTTGACATGACTGTGAGAGGACTGCTTATTTTATCTTCTTTAATTCATTTTTTTATATTGTGATATTGTGAATTTTTTGTAATGTGAATGGTTGTCTTTTGTGTGGACCCCTGAAAGAATAGTTGTTGCTGTGGTAACGACTAATGGGGATCCTAAATAAACAAACAATAGAAACAGTCATTACATGTAGGGGGTGTGGTAGATTAGCAGCATGTAACAAAATAGATTCATAATTTTCAGGACCTTTGGATGGGGATCCTCCATCATGTTGCCAATGAGCATGAGTGGGTCATGGGCAGATGCCAGCATGACTGCCTTGCAGCAGACCAGACAACGACCTGGATTGAGAGGGGGACCAGGGCTCACGACACCCTAACCAGCATTGTGAAAGACAAACGGTGGCTAAAAAATGTCCATAAGTTCCTGAACTTCAAGTGAATACTTTTTCATTTTTTTTTTCACATATACAGACACACACATATCCATGCAGCACTAGGACAGACGACCACAGCCTCTGTGTTTGTGTAGAAAGTGACATTTTCAGTACAAATCATCCCCTTTGGCCCTCCCAAACATAGATATGTATACGTGGACACAGAATTCACCTTAGGATCTGTAGTGTAAAAGTTAATCCCTAATCAAGTAAAAGTGTTATACTGCATAAGTTGATTAAGAGACAAAAGCCACATAACCACCATATAACCATGTTTTATGTATAAGTTCCTATAAAACTGATTGAGATGCATCTATATGTGTTAAAGCAATGTTATACATGTCAAAGTGTTCACAATACAAAGTTATGAGCTCACATTGTATTCACATACTGAAGAGCACACATATAACCTATCATGTTCTGTTTAATGATAACACACACACACATTCAAATGTTTGTATTACCTGATGCACATTTAAAGGTTCACATTGCATAAGAGCACAAGGGACTGCATAAAGAAAGTCCCTAAAATTCACATGTTTTTTAAAAAATAAAGTGAAAGTAGATCCAGATGTAAGGGTGGAAAATTTGGGAAACTCCAGGCCCAAAGTGAAACTCCAGGCCCAAAGTGAAAGTGATTACACCATTAAAAACGGGCCTGTTCATGATTGGACAAAAGGAAAAAAGCTTGCCACCAATAGATTTGGATTTGAGTGGGATGGATTAATGAAAAGAGGTGGAGACTCTACCCAGTCTCCACCAGCATAAAAGCGAGTGTACTAAGAGCGAGTTTTCAGTCCTGCTCCAGGGCTTGACTCATGAGTTCTATGTGTTGAAGCTTGTGAACACATTAAACTCAATTGCATCGGACTCTGCCTGTCTCCAGTGTTTCTTTGAGTATTAATTAGATGAACCCAAGGTACTAAACTGACATCAGAGGACAACTGAGAAGCAACGCTGAGGACAAGGTCGGGAGCCTCCAGGCCCAATTCCGGGCACCGATTTTTGCCTCTTCAAGTGGCGAGCGCAGCCAGGAGGGAAGGAAGGTCGGAGCCGGAGACTGGGAGCACTGGGCTGTACGCCAGACACACAGGTGGCCACCAAATAAGGTAAGCAGAGCTTTTTTCTGTCTAAACCGGGTGTGTCTGGGGTGCAGTGCTGGGAGCCGCCCAGGTCAAAGGTATTTGACAGATTCCTCTCCTAAAGAACCTAATTATGATGTATTGATTAATTGGAAAGTAGCTAGAGATACCACTGAAAAGGCAACTAACATCACTGGAGACGGTTGGGTCTGCTGCAATAAGTGTGATCGTGGAGCAGAAAGAGTGAATGTGTGTGTGTTGAATGTATGATAATTAATGAGGAAATGAAATACAAGCAGTAGGATAGTTAAAGTATCTAAAGTATTTAAAGTATTAAGAGGAAGTGCACGACAAAAAACCTGTAAGAGTTAAAACAGGGAAGAGAAAAAGAAACCGGTAAAAGAGTTGAAAAAGTAAGAGAAACAGAGATATACAAAAGCATATCCGTGGATACCGCTGCCTATCTTGACGGCACACCTTTAAGCCTGTAGGGGCAGGTGTGTTGTGTCGGACGGCAGGTCTGCACAGGCGGAATGCTAGAAGTTGAGAGAAAAATAAAGAGTTAAAAAGACATAAAGCTTCTGTGGATACCGCTGTTTAAAGGGTGACCTCTCAGCCAAGAGGGCGGGGGAGTCGCCACAGACAAACAGGACTGAACGGGCAGAACGCTAAAAAGTTAAGAGATAAAGAGAACAGTCAGCAGATCGATCAAAGTGTAAAAATTGTAAAAACCTAACTGTAAGCTATAAAGTTGCTGTACATACTTTGTAACATATCTAAGTGTAACAAATAAGTTGTAGTAAATAAAATATAATCTATCTTAGAATGACAAGTAAAGTGTTGTATAAAGTGTTGTAAATACAGTAAAGTGCTGAATAAAATGTAACTGTAAAAAGACTGATAAACTATTAGACGACTGACCTAACAGAGAGTACGAAAGGAGGGGGTGAGGAATAGAGCCAGCAGAGAGTGAGGAAGAGAGCCAGCAGAAAGGAGTTAACCAATAAATCAAACTGTTGTAGAAGAATTTGAGGAGGTGAGCTCAGGGAGAGAAACACAGAGCGTCTAAAAATAGATGGAAGAGGGAGAGATTATTGAAGACGAGATTTGGGGAGAAGAACACTGTCTGACCGAGGGTCCAGTAGAACACAGAGGGATATGCACACACTTTTGGCTGGAAAGAACCTACTTAGATAAGGAGGGGGCTGAGCGTTGGCAGGACGAGCAAAAAAATCAAACAGAAGCTCCGGCAAATCACTAAGTTCATCAACTTGAAAAAAGTAAAAGAACAGTTTCCAGGTGCCCCGTGGGAAGAGATTTTGCGTAGATTGTGGGTCCCTTATTCACTAAATCCTCTATTACAGAGCTTGTGTGATAATTATAAGAACGGACCAGTAGCTTCACTTCCTCTACACCAGATAAGTATACGAGGCCAAGACTGTGTGAGATACCCTCCACGGCTGCAATTTGTTGTTGTGCCCAGAAAAGTTGAGTGGGAAACAGGTAAATTTGGGTGTTTAACCCCGGTTCCCCAAGGGGACGGGTCACACAAATTAGAGTACAACCCATACAGAGAAAAGAAATATAAAACTGCCATAACAGTAGGGAAAATCATAGTACTAATACGCACAAAAGAGACAGACGAACTGCCAGAGATCCCAAGAACCAGTGAAGTGAAACAGGGCTTCATGGGAGCCAATCAGGAAAAAATGGAAAAAAGGGTTTTAACCCCAGTGGAGATAGTAATGAGACAACACCCAAGTTGGGTGAAGCGCATCCAATGTTGTGTGGCAAAGTGGCACAAAAGAACATCAGGAAAGAATCGTTGGCCTATGGATGGTACTTTCAATCTGGCAATCTGGCTGTGATGAAGTAGAGTCAGAGTTGAGGCATAAAGAAGCCCGAGACACTAAAGCTAGCTATAAATATGGTTGGGATGGTTTAAACAAGCTGGGGCAAAAATAATGGTGCAGCTGGAGGAGAAGGAAAAAGAACATCAGGATCAGGACAAGGTGACGCCTGCAGCCCCTGTGACACCTACAGCACCACCCTTACCCACACCACCACCACCCCCATACCCACAAGATCCAACACAGCCAGCAATGGGACAATATCCACTAAGACATTCAAAAGCAATGGAAATGGAGGGTCAAGTAGAGGGGAAATTCACAGTGACCTTGACCAAAAATACCAAACAGAAACCCAACAGGAAGTGACTACAGGGGCCACGACAAAAACTAAAGTTGGAAATGGAGCCTTCCTCAGAAACTGACAGTACTGACGGATCGTTGGATGACGATGGGGACACGGAAGCCACTGACTTTGACTTATACACCAAGACGCGTAATGGCAAGAAGGAAAGACATGCTGAGCAATCAACCGACCAGGAGATGGCAGGCCTCGTCAGTGCAGGAGGCACGCCCCTTAGAGAGAGGCAAGCACACAAAAGGAAAGAGAAGCTGAGGCGACTGAAGGAGGACGGATACGAGTCCCTCCATTCCAGCTATGCGAGCCTCCCTATGAAAAAGTCTGCTCACCATTCAAGCTGCTCAAGCCTCCTCTTTGGGGACTCCAAGTCCCCTACTGCAGCATCACGAAGGAATGAGGAGGAGGGGCCAGTGTCACAATCCAGACCCCTGAGTGCTATAGGGGAACGACAGTGGCAAGAATGGTTTGAATGGGAGGCGGAGTGCCGTCAAAGGCGCCAGGAGGAAGAGCGTCAGGGGGCGGCCACCATCGACCCCACACCTCACCCAAATCAGAAAATGAGAAATGAATCATCCAATGGATGCGGGGGTCCTGAGGAAGGTGCCTCAGGGGGAGTTTCACCAAAGAGCACCCAAGACCTACAGTTACTTCAAGAACTGGAGGGAGCTGCCCAGAGGGCTGAAGATAAGGTGCGGCGTATGACACAGGAGTTGGACAAATTAGAGGAGCGGCTGGAGGAGCATAGAGCTTCTCAACAGAGACAGAGGGAACCCCAAGTTAGCCCCTCAACAGAGCATATCACTCTGACACTCCAAGGCACTATGGAAACCGATAGAGCACGGTCAAAGGAAGCACAGGCTACTGACAAAGGGCAGAAAATAGACAGAAGAAGCCAAAACCGAGATGGCATGACATTAAGAAGTGGGAAATCAGTAGGAGGTGACTTACTGCTGGACCTGTCAGATGAAGAGAGAGAAGAAGGTTCCATGTGCCCCATTATAACAAAAACTAGTGGAAGAACACAGTATGAGCCCTGGCCCTTCATGGACATGATAGGCCTGGCAGAGCGCCTACCAGTGCTCACAGATGGAGCTGACAAATGGATCATGGCTTTAGAAGAAACCACAGCTGGTATACAGTTGGTAGTAGGAGATATCAAGGCTATTCTCACCTATGTGGCAGGAAAACAAACCACCAAGGAGATATTTACAGACGCTGGCTTAAGTACAGCCATTGGCACCAATGTAAATGACGGGGTGAATTTTGGAGGCTACCGTTCCCGGGTGTGGCAACAACTGAGAGCACACTACCCAGCAAAAAGAGACCCCTCCAAGCCGGAGGGAGAAACCATGGGGGAAGATGAATGTCCCTCCAAGTTCCTACACAGCTTCCAGAAAAGGTGGAAGGAAGAGACAGGGGAAGCATGGAATGCTAATAAAACGACTCAGAGCTTGTTCAAAATGATGGTTAAAAAAGCCATGCCAGAGGATGTACAGCGACACCTGGAAGGCGTTGTAGGATTGATGAAGATGGACTGGCCACTGTTCTCAGAACATATTGTCCATCATGTGGAGCTCTACAGAAAAGACAAAAAGAAAAATGGAAGAGGACAGTAAACAACTAGCCAACAAGCTGACACAGTTACAGCTGGGAGAGCTCAGTAAGCTGGTCAAAAAAAGAAAAAGAGAAAGAAAAAACTAAAGTTCAGGCCCCCATGGTAACAGCAAACCAAGCAGCTCCCCAGTGTGTCCAGCCCCAAGCGCCTCCGCAGCCAACCCCCACAGACCCAAATACAGCAGGAAATGACAATTCTGCTGGTACCACGCATCACCATTATTACTACCAGCAGCAGGCACCAAGAGGTGGGGGCAACCAGCCGCCCCCAAGAGGACGGGGCAGAGGTGGAGCTAGAGATACGACGTTCAGGGGAGGCTGGAAGGGGGGCCGGAACTACATACCAGGAAACCAGCATATATTCCAGCAAACCGCGTCCAACCAGCAACCAGGCCCGCCAGACATGGGTACAGGTTATCCAGGAGCTAATCCTGCCCCACCTGATAACCTGTGCTGGGGGTGTGGTCAACCAGGTCATATACGGGCCCACTGCCCTAGTAATCCATGGGACGGTCCAGCACAAAAATTGGCCCAACACGGAGCAGACACGCCCTTGGTAGGGGTGCCCAGAGAAGCCTGAGGGGGAACTAATGTCACCAGCAATATCACTGCAGTCACAAGATGAACCAATTATACCTGTTGTCATTCACGATCGTGAATACCCTTTCATGGTGGACACAGGTGCCACATACTCGTGCATTGGAAAAGAAGGTTCCAGGTTCCCCCTCTCCACGTCATCTATAAAGACAATAGGCTTCTCTGGGAAATCACAAGTCATACCACTGACGGAACCTGTTCCAATGCTCATTGCAGGCAAAGTCATATGCACGCCACTGCTATATTCAGCCCATACCCCAGTAAACCTATTAGGAAGAGACATTCTATGTCCATTAAAAGCAAAAATCATGTGTACTCAGGATGGACTGTACTTGGATTTCCCAGATGAACCCCCACAACACATGATGTCACAGCTTCCCCAGGACGTGACAGAAAAACAACAAGCACTTGCCTATTGGCTCCGGCTGACACCAGAAGAGTCACATCTCCAACAAAAATGGACTGAATGGGAGGAGTGGATTCGCATGCACTATGACACAGCACACACCTCCACTCTGCCACTGCACTGCACGCTCATGTACGACAAAGATCAGACTCATGTAGATTACCAGGAATGTTGGGATGCAGTAATCAATAAGAAACCATGTCTAATCACAAGTGAAGATACGTTTATGGGGCTGGAAGGTGTGGCGGCGGCTGTCCGCCTTCCGGAAGATTTGTCTGGGTGGTATCAAGTACCAACGTCGCACGTCACATTGTTGGTGGCCAAAGGTTATGAGTCTCATCATCTCGGTCCCATGGTCAGGCGTGCCCTGCAGGTGCAAGAGTGGGTGCCCACAAAGAACAAGTACATTCACATTTCTAAAGATAAGCAGTTCATCAGAATCTCAGTCAAAGTAGGTGATGAGGCAATAGCAGACAAGGTAATGGTAGATGGAAACACACCTACACAGATGGCGGTCGCCACAGAACATGAGGAAATGCTAAACCAAGTCCCACCACAGTTGTGGACAGCTCACAAGACTGATGTAGGATTAATAAAGTCGGCCCAACCAGTTCACATTAAGCTAAAACCACACGTAAACCTACCATATCAGAAGCAGTATCCTCTCAAGCAGCATGCCATTGATGGTATCAGACCAACAATTAAGGGTTTGGTTGAAGCAGGGGTATTGGTTAAAACTAAGAGCCCTTGTAACACACCCATCTTTCCGATCAGGAAACCAAATTCAACGGACTACCGTCTATTCCACGATCTAAGGGCAGTAAATGCAGTAGTAGACGGAGAAATACCACACGTGCCAGATCCACACACGTTGCTTTCAAACATCCCACCAGACACCCAGTGGTACACGGTCATTGATTTGTGTTCAGCCTTTTTCAGTGTACCACTACATCCAGATTCTCAGTATCTGTTTGCCTTTATGTACAAGAATCAACAATATACCTATTCGAGGTTAGCCCAGGGGTTCTTGGATTCCCCGTCAATCTTTAATCGTGTATTGACACAGGACCTAGCAAGTTTGAATGTGCGAAGTACAGTGTTGCAGTACGTAGACGATTTGCTTATCTGTAGCCTTACAAAAGAACAATGCGAGAAAGACTCCATTGCTGTGCTCACAACCCTAGCAGAAGGCGGACACAAGGTCAGCAACAACAAACTGCAGTTCTGCCAACAGTCAGTAGAATACTTGCGGAGAAGGCTATGTGGGGACAAAAGGTGTATTGCACCATCACAGGTGGAAGCAATAATCAAGGCTATGTGTGTGCCGTCCTGATGCAGGACACTCCCACAGGTAAACAGCCATTAGCATATTACAGTACCAAGCTTGATAACATAGAGACTGGTCTGCCACCCTCCTACCAGGGACTGGCAGCAGCTGTTTTTGCCTTTCAGAAAGCATCATTGCTGACCATGGGACATCCTGTGACGTTGTACACTTCTCATCAAATTCATGCATTGTTGACGAGTCCACGAATCGTTTTAACACAAGCCAGACGTACAGGCTATGAGGTCATTTTATCAGCCCCAGAACTCAACATTCAGCGTTGCACTATCATTAATCCAGCCACAAAACTGGTGTTACCAACGGAAGGTGCGCCACATGACTGTATTCATGATACAGAGAAATTTATGCGTGCTAGGGAAGATTTGCATAATCAGCCTATTCCAGCCGATCTCACATAGTTTGTTGATGGATCATGTTTTCGTGATGCCACCGGTAGCCATGCAGGCTACGGGATTGTCCAACTTGACAATAATGATCAGAGTTTCGTGACACTAGAATCATGCAAACTTGCTCAGCCCTGCTCAGCCCAGCTCGCAGAGATAAAAGCTTTAACAGCAGCATGCAAATTAGCAGAGGGGAAGTCACTAAATGTGTACACAGATTCAGCATACGCCTATGGTGTTTGCCATGTTCATGCTAACATATGGAAACAAAGAGGGTTTCGTAGAGCTGACGGCACTCCTGTAACTCATGGAGCTGCAATTCTTGATCTATTACAAGCCGTGCTTCTTCCCACGGCTTTAGCAGTCATCAAATGTCCAGCCCATCAAAAAACTGATTCTTTGGTGGCCAAAGGGAATAATCTTGCTGATGAAGCAGCTTATCAGGCAGCAATAGGTGCAGTAATGGCACCTATATTGACCATACAAGACTGTGAATCCCTCACCTCCCTGCCTTCACTTAAAGCCGCTCAAGATAGAGTAGATGAGGCCGAGGCACGCCTATGGGTAAAACGAGGAGCTATAAAGAACATGCGACCAAGTCCACTGCATGGAGTCTGGTTAGACGCTCATGGTCATTTTGTATTACCAACCTTACTGTTAAGACATGCAATAATCTGGGCGCATGGTAGTGACCATTGCGCAAGGGGGGAGATCCTACGGAAACTGCAAGCAGTATGGTGGTCACCATTTATGGCAGCCATGGTAGATAGAGTACTAAGCGAATGCGACATTTGCGCAGGCTACAACATTAGAAAAGCTTTTACAGCCCCATTGGCACATACCACCCCCAGATGGTCCATTCAGACACCTCACGTTAGACTACATAGACATGGGACCACAGTCAAGAGTAAAGGGAATGAGATATGTCTTGGTGGTCATATGTAGATTTAGCAGATGGGTGGAGGCAAAAGCCACGGCAAAATCAGACCACAGAACAGTTGCAAAATTTTTGTGTCAAGAAGTCTTCCCAAGATTTGGGATGCCAGATACCATATCATCAGACAACGGCAGCCATTTTGTGTCCAACGTCATACAAGAGATGCTGAAACAACTGGGAATTAAACAAAAGTTTGGCTGCGTTTATCATCCCCAATCACAGGGAGCAGTAGAGAGGGCGAATGGTATTTTGAAAACCAAAATAGCCAAGATAGTGGCAGATAGTGGAAACAAGCTTAATTGGATGGATGCTTTACCGCTTGCACTAATGTCTATGCACTCACAAGCCAGCAGAGTCACGCATCTAACACCACATGAAATGCTTACGGGCGGCCCATGCCGATACCATATTTGAGAGGTCCCTATGAAGGGCCCTCACTGGAGCAATTGCAAGGTGAAATGTTTGAATACTTACGAAGTCTTACTCGTATCCACAGGGCTGTGTTCCAGCAGGTGAAAGGGGCCACTGAGGACAGAGGGGTCGATATCCCAGCAGACCTCCAAAGAATACGTCCCGGAGAACAGGTGTACGACAAGGTGTTCAAAAGAAAGTGGGACCAGCCACGAAGGCAAGGTCCATACAAGGTTGTACTAGCCACACCAACTGCCTTGAAAGTTGAAGGTAAGGACGTTTGGTTCCATCTCAACCACTGCTGCAGAGCTAACCCACAATTCCCAGACAGGCCACCTATACCTTGGCCTAGAGCCAGACAGAGAGCAGCTCCCCCAGAACCACAAGGGGAAGGCGAGGCCGCCCCAAGGGAAGCAGAGAGCCGTTCAGAAGGGGAAGGCGATGCCTCCCCGCAGGAACAGGGGACCAGGAGGTCAGCACGCTTGGCGAGCAGACGGGACCAGGGCAGAGTTCGGAGTGACAGCAGTGGGTCGCTGCCAGCGAGGGTGTCATCAGACAGCACCTCAGAGGGAAGCACCCCGGCCACAGTGGTTGGCGATGAACCTCATGAGTCGTCATCTGATGGCAGCGGGGACGGTGATGAGGGCCCAAGCACAGAAAGAGCAGAGAGAGCAGAGGGAGCAGAAGCGGAAGGAGAAAGAGAAGAAGGCAGTAGCTCAGAAAGCGGCCGTTCAGAAAGCAGTAACTCAGGAGCAGGCGAGGCTGGAGCCGCAGAGGGGTCAGACACAGACACAGACAACACAGACAGAGGAGACACAGACCTCAGAGAGGGACCAGCCCCTCGGTAGACCAGGCCGGGGAAGGCCTGAAGGCCCAGACAGTATGGGAGGAGGAGTTAAAGTAGGAGTGATAGCTGCAGTATTACTAACCCTATTGCTCATCCTGGCAGGAGTGAAACAAAGTGAAGGAGCAGGGCAGGGTGGACAAGGTCAGGAACGGGTAGGCGAATGCTTAGTGGCATTAGGAGCTATGGCCGCAAAGCAGGGCAAGATACAATACAGAGAGACAGTTTCATTAACCTACTATAAGTCGCATGCTTACAACGATGTATTGGTGGAGGGTCCAGAAGGCATTAGGTTGCATGGCCGGTCCATAGGACCACGCTGTAGTGCAGAAGGGAAGGTGACAGCAAGAGTTATGTGTGACATGAGAGGTTGCACCAACACAGACACAGGGCGCAGCGTACCTTTAAAGGTAGCCCGCCAGTGGCTTCTGTTGGATCCAGCGCCCCGGAGAATATCAAGGGATGTGAGGGCACGGAGAGTAGAGGTAATTAGAACAACCACTTGGAAGTCCAACAAATTCTATCAATGGCTAGAATACTCCGCAAAACAAGTTACTAATAGCTCATGTATAGCATGTCACAGGAAGAGGGGCTTGCCCATGGTCAGACCTCTCCCAGACATAGAGGACTGCGCACGCACTGTTTTGCTCGGTGCACCATGTGGATGGCAGCGGGAAGAGGGAAACACACTAATGACACTGCAATTTGTCCTGTAAGTCTTAAGGGCGCCCCTAACCCAATCAAACAAGAGTAACAAGTACCACCGGTAGTGCATTTGGCTCGGGATACTGTATTCCCATTTTGTATAGCAAGAGGAAATGAGATAGAAGGCGCGTTAGACAACTCTACATCTTGCAATGCCTCCAAAGAGGCAGAGGTGTTGATCCAATGCAGGCATGAGAACCGCTCAACCCAGGGAAATCATTGGAGACAGGAAAAGATATGTAACACCAAAGCCCAAATTCAATGTGAACAGGTCATTAGCGGTGCATCAAATAAGTCAGTCATCATGTCACGTAACCACACGTATACCTGGTTTAAATCTTATTTATCTGATCGTTTTCAGTTTGTTGACGTTCATAATGAATCATCCTTACGTACCAAAGTTTGTTTTGGAGTTCCGCAAGGTTCTGTGCTCGGACCAATCCTATTTACTCTATATATGCTTCCTTTAGGTAACATCATTAGAAATCACTCTATAAATTTCCATTGTTATGCGGATGATACTCAGTTGTATTTATCGATGAAGCCATAAGAAAGTAATCAATTAACTAAACTCCATAACTGCCTTAAAGACATAAAAACTTGGATGAGCACCAGTTTCCTGATGTTAAATTCAGACAAAACTGAATTTATTGTTCTTGGCCCCAAACAACTCAGAGACTCTTTATCTGATGACATAGTTTCTCTAGATGGCATTGCTCTGGCCTCTAGCACTACCGTAAGAAACCTCGGAGTAATATTTGATCAAGATTTATCTTTTAATTCTCATTTAAAACAAACCTCACAGACTGCATTTTTTTCATCTGCGTAATATTGCGAAAATTAGGCCTATCCTGACCCGAAAAGATGCAGAAAAATTGGTCCACGCTTTTGTTACCTCTAGGCTGGATTACTGTAACTCTCTATTATCAGGTAGCTCTAGTAAGTCCTTAAAAACTCTCCAGCTAATTCAGAATGCAGCAGCACGTGTACTAACAGGAACTAAGAAACAAGATCATATTTCTCCTGTTTTAGCTTCTCTGCACTGGCTCCCTGTAAAATCCAGAATTGAATTTAAAATCCTACTGTTAACTTATAAAGCTCTAAATGGTCAAGCTCCGTCATATCTTAGTGAGCTCATAGTGCCATATTATCCCACCAGAACACTGCGCTCTGAGAACGCAGGGTTACTCGTGGTCCCTAAAGTCTCCAAAAGTAGATCAGGAGCTAGAGCCTTCAGCTATCAGGCTCCTCTCCTGTGGAATCATCTTCCTGTTACGGTCCGGGAGGCAGACACCGTCTCCACATTTAAGACTAGACTTAAGACTTTCCTCTTTGATAAAGCTTATTAGTTAGGCTTATAAGCTTATAAGCTAGTTAGGGCTGGCTCAGGCTTGCCCTGTACCAGCCCCTAGTTAGGCTGACTTAGGCCTAGTCTGCCGGAGGACCCCCCTATAATACACCAGGCACCTTCTCTCCTTCTCTCTCTCTCTCTCTCTCTCGTATTCTATTACTGCATCTTGCTAACTCGACCATTCTGGATGTCACTAATTCGGCTTCTTCTCCGGAGCCTTTGTGCTCCACTGTCTCTCAGATTAACTCATATCGCAGCGGTGCCTGGACAGCATGACGTGTGTGGTTGTGCTGCTGCCGTGGTCCTGCCAGATGCCTCCTGCTGCTGCTGCCATCATTAGTCATTAGTCATACTTCTACTGTTATTATACACATATGACTATTGTCACACATGTATACTGCCAGATATTAATACATACTTTCAACATATTGTACCACAGTAGCCAGAACTATAACTATAATATTATTACTTTCAATAATGTTGTTGTAAGCTACTGTTATTACCTGCATCTCTCTCTCTGTCTCTCTCTATGTCTCATTGTGTCATACGGATTACTGTTAATTTATTATGCTGATCTGTTCTGTACGACATCTATTGCACGTCTGTCCGTCCTGGAAGAGGGATCCCTCCTCAGTTGCTCTTCCTAAGGTTTCTACCATTTTTTTCCCCGTTAAAGGGTTTTTTTTGGGGAGTTTTTCCTTATCCGCTGCGAGGGTCATAAGGACAGAGGGATGTCGTATGCTGTAAAGCCCTGTGAGGCAAATTGTGATTTGTGATATTGGGCTTTATAAATAAAATTGAAAATTGAAAATTGAATATACACACCAGGTATGGATTGGTGACCTTAGTAACGGCACCGAGCTACTGGCAGACATATTTTGGATATGTGAGAGCGATTGCCAGGTACAAGCTGTATTACCAACAAATTGGACAGGAATCTGTGCCCCAGTAATGTTAACAGGACAAATCATGATAATGAGTCTAAACAACAGTCTAAATAACGGTACTCATACACGGTCTCGTAGATCGGCTGACACTCAGACACACTCCTGGAAGAAGGATGCTAACATATACATTACATACGACCAGGTACCGCATGGGATGCCTGAGGAGCAGCAGGCTATATCAGAGGACTGGATATCATGGGCCAGAGGATGGGGTTCCGTGCCCCTTGGTGGATACTTTGTGAACGCCCAGTACATAGAACGTAATAGTCGCTGGATAAATTATTTGTGGTATAATCAGCAAAAATTTGTAAATTGGACCATAGAAGCTCTACAAGGAGTAAGTGAGCAACATGCCACATCTTTAATGACGGTGCAAAACAGGCTCATTATCGAGACGATGCTGGCTCAAGACCAAGGGGTCTGTGATGTGATAGGGGAACACTGTTGTACTGTCATCCCCATGCACACAGGGGAGGATGGCAACTTGACTCGGGCTTTACAGAACATACGTGCATTAAGAGACCAACATGTACAGCACTCCGGTTGGAACACTAGAGTTTCCTCAATCTGGGATTGGCTGGGACAATTATCCCCTGGAAAGATTTTACGAATGATAGGAGTGCTGTTGGGACTTGTAGTGTTGGCCCTTCTGGTGATATCCTGCTGTGTTCTTCCCCTGGTGCGACTTGTGATTAAAAAGACTATGGCAAGTGTCACAGGACAGTTTGTAATAATAGACCAAGGTCTATGGCCAACAGCAAGCACAGAGTCATATGAAGATATGAGTAGTTCTCAGGGGAAGGTTCCCAAGGATCAGGGCCAGCTCACAGGGTGAGATAAGGGAAATCGATATGAGATAATGCCACAAGGCATGGCATTGGAAACTGTCCAATATAATCAGAAACCTAGGCTAGTTGAGGGTGTTTATGAGGAGATCATTTAAAGCCCTTAATACCCTTGCTGTCACCAAACCAATACTAACATTTAATCACTAACAAAATGAACTAATCCTGCTTGCATGGCTCATGTACATATTCATTGCTGTAGGGAAAGGTATAACGTCACTAAGGAAAGTACACTAAAAATGTCCTTTACAACCTTAAGATAGGTACAGAGTATGGCTGAGAGCTGGAGAACTCCGCATCCATACCAACAGAACCAGGGGGGCCAGCCTGTGTTCCAGTACCAACAGCAGGGGCCGGGAGGGCTGAGCCAGCTTCCTCAGCTGTATTCTCTACCTCCACCATCACCACACCACACAGGGTTACCCGGTCCAATGGCCAGCTGTTCTGCACCTACCTGCACCTTTGGAGGAGGCACCCCGATGAGACGACATGGACGCTCCAATCAGATGACGCCGTTGCACCTGTCGCAACTCTACGCTCCAGCCCTGGCCCAACCTCCCTTGGAAAGCCTGCTCCGCTTCTTGTTGCAAGGGCCCGATGTCCCCAGCCCCAGTGGAACTCGCCAAGAACCACTTGCCAGTACCTCTAACCTGGGAGGCCAGGTCCAGACGGGTCCCAGTCAGGAAGGCAGCTGGGGTAATGTGAATCCAGGCCCGCAATCTTCCCAGTACCTGATGCAGGCCTCATTAGAGGTTCAGACGCCCACCACTGCGCAGGCGCCGCCTCAAGAGGGAAACCTTCAGCACAATGCCCGTGCTGACATGTTGCCATTACGCTCTCCTGATCCATCGTCTGCGACAGAAGACAGCGAGGACCAACGGTCGGCCAGCTATTCACCTACCAGCCCATCGCCTGCAGCCCCAGGTTCAGAGATGAATTTGGAATACCAAAATGAGGGTCACCTGTCAGTACAGGCCCTCGCAGAAGAGACACGTGATATCTTAGAGCAAGAATATGGGGTGTGTCCAGAGATAGTGGAAGGGTACCTCTGGAACCTGCCTGATGGGGAGCCAACCCAATTAAGGCACGATGAATTGGTAAAAAATCTATGCACGCTGCTCCATCCTGTCCCCCATGGACCTTTTCGCCGACTTATGCGCAGTTACCCCATAATACTGCGGAAGAGACTCCACAGAATTCGCCAAGCCTCCTATGTAATCAGAAAGGCTGAAAACAAGAAGCTGCAGAGAGAACACATGAAGCTCACTGAGAAAGAGACACTCAGTCTGCGTAACCAAGTCCAGGAGCTGACCCAAGCTAAGGATGCCCTATAGCAGGAGGTCGGAATGCTGAGGGAGCAGGTGGCCTCCTATCGGCGCCTGCGGATGATGGGCACATCTTATGTGCCTGATGGACAACAACCATTCAGCAATACTGGCTAAAGCTGAAATGAATTTTGTCAGTTGTAACCTGTGTATAAGGATGCCCCTTATGAATGATCATGCATGCAACCGAAAGTAACCAATGAAGGTCATCAGGCTAGCTTTATATTCTGAATAATTGAATACTATATCATAATGCTCAACCAGTGTGATTACTGAGTAGAGAATCATCGAAGTTAGTTTATGTGTGATATTTACGGATCTTAGTTAATTGGTATGGGACTATGAAGTCCCAAAGGGGGGAATATATATTTTTCTCTCCCTCTGTGATTCAAATATTATATGGAACTATGAAGCCCCAAAGGGGGGATTGTAGTGTAAAAGTTAATCCCTAATCAAGTAAAAGTGTTATACTGCATAAGTTGATTAAGAGACAAAAGCCACATAACCACCATATAACCATGTTTTATGTATAAGTTCCTATAAAACTGATTGAGATGCATCTATATGCGTTAAAGCATTGTTATACATGTCAAAGTGTTCACAATACAAAGTTATGAGCTCACATTGTATTCACATACTGAAGAGCACACATATAACCTATCATGTTCTGTTTAATGATAACACACACACACATTCAAATGTTTGTATTACCTGATGCACATTTAAAGGTTCACATTGCATAAGAGCACAAGGGACTGCATAAAGAAAGTCCCTAAAATTCACATGTTTTTTAAAAAATAAAGTGAAAGTAGATCCAGATGTAAGGGTGGAAAATTTGGGAAACTCCAGGCCCAAAGTGAAACTCCAGGCCCAAAGTGAAAGTGATTACACCATTAAAAACGGGCCTGTTCATGATTGGACAAAAGGAAAAAAGCTTGCCACCAATAGATTTGGATTTGAGTGGGATGGATTAATGAAAAGAGGTGGAGACTCTACCCAGTCTCCACCAGCATAAATGCGAGCGTACTAAGAGCGAGTTTTCAGTCCTGCTCCGGGGCTTGACTCATGAGTTCTATGTGTTGAAGCTTGTGAACACATTAAACTTGATTGCATCGGACTCTGCCTGTCTCCAGTGTTTCTTTGAGTATTAATTAGATGAACCCAAGGTACTAAACTGACATCAGAGGACAACTGAGAAGCAACGCTGAGGACAAGGTCGGGAGCCTCCAGGCCCAATTCCAGGCACCGATTTTTGCCTCTTCAGATCGTATGTCAATGTCACCGCCATGTTCCTTAGATCAAGACTGACCCGTGCTTTTGCACCTTTGCTGCTTGTGTGTGTGGGGGGGTGTATTTATTTCTTTGGCAAAAGGCTAAAATGAAAAAAATGAAGGCAGTGACAACCAACCTCTCTTTTTCATGCTGCTTAATCATTTAGATATCTACATCCGAGCTGGAATCTTTTCAAAACCATATTCTAATGTATGCATTGAAGAGGTTTTCTTACTCCCCCCCTGTCTATGAGGCAAGGACCATCCTTGCTGCGCTGGACTACAACTACCACAAGAGTCGTCCAGCCAAAATAAACGCACATGGAGAGACTGTGTAAGTTTAATGTATAATTTTATATTTCTGAGTAATACTTGTCAATACCATTGTAGATACTCAGTATGACACCAGAATTTGTCTTTCGTATAAAAATTATCAAGACATTATTTATAATAACCTTTTTTTTTTTCCAGGATGGCAATGAGCAAGCTGGACAGTCTAGGTGAGTCTAATAACTAAGCCTATTTGTTTTGCTGTTTTTCAGGATGGGCAGTGTTCAAGAAGAGGTCCAATCGATGGACCTTGTACACTGAAAAAACTCCAAAGACATACAGTTACATTCCCAACCTGCAGAGGCATATACTGGAAAAGAGGGTGTCATCAGAAGGAGGTCTCCCAAAAGTCATGAAGCAAAGACCCAGTGATCCCCGGAGACTTCTCCCTGTCCTTCCACCACCATCGACCCAAGACCTTGTTCAGGCCCATGTCAGCAGAGGTCATGGTATGTCAAAAAACTCCATGCATCACAAATTAGGAGAAGCATTTCAATAATACTTTTCCGTAAAACGGTATTAATGATTTTAGAATAACCCCTGTCTTAACCACAAATGAGTCAGAGACATTTTTCACAGAACAGAAATGCTCACGTTTTACTCTGCAGCTGTCTACAACATGCATGTTATGTCTTGGGTGCACCTCACAGGTGTAAAATGTGCATACAAGATGGAAACAGTAGACAGACAATTTAGGGTGACATGAAATCTGTTATGCAAGCGTGATGCTGATGTGACATTTCATGCTTTTACCCACTTTAGGACACAAAAGCTCTAAATGTCTGACTTCCCCCTGTCTTTTTTTATTTTATTTTTTATAGGACCTGTCTTGCAGCAGAGTCCAACAGCTGTTGATTAGATGGAATCACAGACATCAAGGTAATAGAGTATGCCACAAAGATATTTCACATTTAGGGTAGATTTTGTCTGTATATGATTCCAGCCCTGAAGCTGTATTGTGCCACAACGGCTAATAAAGTGACACCCTTATAAAAATGTGAATTCTTACTGTGTAATTTAGTCTATATAAAATTATGGCTGTAGCTGACACTGAATTACATCATTACATATCAAGCTGTGACGATTCATCTTTTTATTTCAGTTTTGAGTGGCCTCACTAAAGTCCTATATGGTCTCCGTAATTGTGTTTCACCAGTTTTAAAGGACAACTTCGGTATTTTTCAACCTGGGCTCTATTTCCCCATGTGTATGTGTGTGTATGATTCATGGGTACCACTCATTCTAAAATTGGTTCAGTATTGAGCCGCAAAACAAGCTAAAACGGTAATGGGGGCAAATGCGTCCGTATAAAAGTGCTTTTTTTCGCCACTGACCGGTTCAGATCGCCAGTGCTATCTCTGTAAATAGCATATGGTAGTGGCCCTGGGGCAGTGGTGAGTGTGAATGAGTGGAGTCAGCTGTCAGTCAGTGTTGGAGCAGAAAGGCGGAAGGTGTCCCCGTTCGGTATTGTAAATGAGTATGTGTGTGTGGTTGCAGTGCTCAAGATGTGTATTTGACTGAGGTAGTATAATGTAGTTTCTCTAGCTTTGTTATGCAGCAAATGGAGCTATATTTATGCAGACAGTGTGCTCAAGTGTATGGCTTACAGATTGCTTATGCATTGCTAACGCTTTTTGTCTTCCAACTTTTACAGACGCCGTCCTGAAGTCATTTAAAGAGGGAACAGATAACGTCTGAAGACATGCAGCTGAACACCTAAAACATGCTACAACAAGAAGAGGATGGGGGGCAATATTAACTCTTCATCCCTGGAGCCCCTGCGTCAAGGGGTGTTGCACCTTCCTGTGTAACCCTTACCCAGAAATTTTTATTGGTTGTATTTGTTAAAAACTTTGAATAATACACTTCAGTGTACAGTACCGTTTTGCTGTAATTTATACCTAATTAGCTTCTAATAAGATCTAGTTCAGGTTGAATAGGGCGGAACGGTGCAGACTTTAATTTCGAGTACGGTTTTGCTGTAGTTTAAATCTAATTAGCCTCTAATAAGATCTAGTTCAGGTTGAATAGGGCGGAACAGTGCAGACTTTAATTTAGAGTACGGTTTTGTTGTAGTTTATACCTGATTAGCCTCTAATAAGATCTAGTTCAGGTTGAATAGGGCAGAACGGTGCAGACTTTAATTTAGAGTACGGTTTTGCTGTAATTTATACCTAATTAGCCTCTAATAAGATCTAGTTCAGGTTGATTAAGGGTCGCTATTTATTACTACCTATTAATGGGACTCCAGAGAATGAGCCATCCAGGCAACAAGGGATTTGTTGGTGTTTGTTTAATATATAATAAAATATTTTACCTCTTTTTTTTGTCTTAATTTGTTGCAAAGTATGTCTTGTTTGCTATTATTAGGGTATAACTGTGTTTGTTTAATATCTAATAAAATATAATTACCTCTAGTTTTTGTCTAATTTGTTGCAAAGTACGTATTGTTGGCTCTTATTAGGGTATAATTGTGTTTGTTTAATATCTAATAAAATATATTTACCTCTAGCTTTTTTGCTAATTTGTTCCAAAGCACGTCTTGTTAGTCCTAATTAGGATATAATTGTGTTTGTTTAATATCTAATAAATATAATTACCAATAGTTTTTGTCTAATTTGTTTCAAAGCACATCTTGTTAGTCCTAATTGGGATATAATTGTGTTAGTTTTTGTCTAATTTATTTCAAAGTATGTCTTGTTAGCACTTATTAGGATATAATTGTTTTTCTTTAGTGACTAAATTGCGAACATATTTCTACCTAATTTAGTACAAACTACGGATTGTTACGTCTTATTAGAGCAATGTTGTCTATTTTACTGTCTAATAAAGATTATATTAGGTGTAGTTTTTTCTAATTTGATACAAAATACGGCTTATTACGTCTAATTAGCGTNTGTTGTCTATTTTACTGTCTAATAAAGATTATATTAGGTGTAGTTTTTTCTAATTTGATACAAAATACGGCTTATTACGTCTAATTAGCGTACTGTAAAATAAAGTGCTACCAGGCCACCTAGGTGGAAGGAAGTTCAGGAGGTGGTCAGGCGTGCAAAAGCTTCTTTGGCCCCAGGGCCTAATGGAGTCCTCTACCGGGTTCATAAAAGTGCACCTGATATCCTTAAATTTTTGTGGAAACAGCTAAGAATAGTTTGGGAGAAACAAATCATCCCAAGACCATGGCATAGGGCAGGGGGTGTCCTCATTCCTAAGGAGAAGGAGTCCGTGGTTCTTAGCCAATTCCAGATGATTTTTTCTCTTGAATGTAGAGGGGAAGATTTTCTTTAGTGTAGTAGCGCAGAGATTAGCTAGCTACTTGGGAAGGAATAGCTTAATACATGATCTGACACCAGATTCAGGCAGCAAAGATTTAGTAAAAGGGACCTGCATGTAATATTTTTAGATTTTGCAAATGTGTTTGGTTCAGTACCACATAGCCTCATTTGGAGTGCCACAGGTAGTTGTTAACTTAGTGAAACCATATTTTCAGGATCTTAGGTTGTGTCTAAGCACAGCAGGTTTCACAACAGGTTGGCAGAGGCTAGAAATAAGTATTATGGCAGGGGGTACCACTTCTCCATTAGCATTTACTATGGCAATGGAAGTAATCATCAGGGCTTCCAAGTGGGTAGTAGGTGCGGAGAGACGGCAGAACTGGGTGCATCTTCCACCAGTTGGGGTTTACATGGATGACATGACACTGGTCAATCAATCAATCAATCAATCAATCAATTTTATTTATAAAGCCCAATATCACAAATCACAATTTGCCTCACAGGGCTTTACAGCATATGACGTCCCTCTGTCCTTAGGACCCTCGCAGATAAGGAAAAACTCCCCCAAAAAAACCCTTCAACGGGGGAAAAAAACGGTAGAAACCTCTGGAAGAGCAACTGAGGAGGGATCCCTCTTCCAGGACGGACAGACATGCAATAGATGTCGTACAGAACAGATCAACATAATAAATTAACAGCAATCCATATGACACAATGAGACAGAAAGAGAGACAGAGAGAGAGACAGAGACAGATGGTAATGACAGTAGCCTACAACAACATTAATGAAAGTAATTGATAGTATACATATGTGATAATAATCATATGTGTATACCGTATTTTTCCAAATAGTAGCCCGGGCGTTTATTTCACAAAAACGATTTTGACCCCAGGCATTTAAAAGAACCAGGCGGCTATTTGCTCAAGGCTTTTATTTTTTTTTTGCACTGACCTGCACCAGGCCGTTACTTGGTTACAGTTCCTTATGGGGTGCCGTTTGTAAAGTGGCTCACGCTGAAAATAACATTTTGCCACATTTAGCTTCAAACAATGTTTAAAAAAGTGTTGTGAATTTTTTAACGTCACCTTTTACCACATTTACAGCAATATTTGTTAACTTAGAAATATATTAAATAGTTAAATCTAAATATTAAATGTGGCACCTAAATGTTAAATGTTAAATCTAAATATTAAATCTAAATCTAAATCTAAATGTTAAACCTAAATGCTAAATCTAAATATTAAATCTAAATCTAAATGCTAAATCTAAATGTTAAATCTAAATCTAAATGTTAAATCTAAATGCTAAATATAAATCTAAATGTTAAATCTAAATCTAAATGTTCAATCTAAATGCTAAATCTAAATCTAAATGTTAAATGTTAAATCTAAATGTTCTGGGTGAAACTAAATATTTAGCAAATATGCAAATTCACACTGCCGATCAAAGGAAGTACCAAAATAAAAGCTCGAGATAGTCAGACTGTGTTTATAGAATCAAATAACGAATTAAAACCAACTTATCAGGGGAAATGAACACTTGAACATACATTAGCGTGATAATAATTACCTAAAATAACAAGAAACATGTTTGGAGAAATTTTATTTGACGTGTACTTTGAATTGTTAGTGTTCCTTCGGAGGGACTAACAACCTAAGCTAAGCTAACAACCGTTAGCTCTTAGCCCCGTTAGCGGTGTCTGTAATGACTCATTAACTCTTAAACGGTCCGTGAAAAAAATATTTTTTTCCAGCGGATGTCTTAGTTACAACATGATTGAGCTAGCAAAGCAGTTTTGTGTTGCAATGTGTGGTATTTATTCAGTTTTGGGAACTCACGATGTCTAGAAAGCATCAATGGCCACAGCAGCAGCAAAGCTAACATCAGGATGTCATCTGTTAAAAGCCTCCCGTTGTCGGATACGACATGAAACTACTCCAGTTAGCTCAATCATGTTGTAAACTAAGACATCCGCTGGAAAAAAAATATTTTTTTCACGGACCGTTAAGAGTTAATGAGTCATTACAGACACCGCTAATCCCCGCTAATGTACGATAACCATGTTATTAATTTCAGAACGTGATAGTAATGTTTGTTCAATCATTGTGTTTATAGACTTTACAAACACCAGATTAGTCTAAACGGTGATATAATGACATGAAAAATGTGAGATATTGTAGCTAAACCCGGAAGTATTTGTAAACAACAAGGTGATTCCCTCCGAAGGGACACTAACAACTCAAAGTACACATCAAATAAGATTTCTCCAAACATGTTTCTTGTTATTTTAAGTAGTTATTGTCACGCTAATGTATGTTCAAGTGTTCATTTCCCCTGATTCTATAAACAGAGTCTGACCATCTTGAGCTTTTATTTTGGTACTTCCGGTGATCGGCAGTGTGAATTTGCATATTAGCTAAATATTTAGTTTCACCAAGAACATTTAGATTTAGATTTAGCATTTAGATTTAACATTTAGATTTAGATTTAATATTTAGATTTAGATTTAATATTTAGATTTAACGTTTAGATTTAGCATTTAGATTTAGATTTAATATGTAGATTTAGATTTAATATTTAGATTTAGATTTAGATTGAGATTTAATATTTAGATTTAACATTTAGGTGCCACATTTAATATTTAGATTTAACTATTTAATATATTTCTAAGTTAACAAATATTGCTGTAAATGTGGTAAAAGGTGACGTTAAAAAATTCACAACACTTTTTTAAACATTGTTTGAAGCTAAATGTGGCAAAATGTTGATGTTATTTTCAGAGTGAGCCACTTTACAAACGGCACCCTATACAGGTGAGTTTAGGGCTGGATACATAGCTCTGGTGAATTCCATGCCCAAAAGGGTTAAGGCAGTGCTAGATAATAATGGTTGGCACACAAAATATTGACACTTTAGGCACAATTTGGACATGTTCACTGTGGGGTGTACTCACTTATGTTGCCAGCTGTTCAGATGTTGATGATTGTGTTTTGAGTAATTTTCAGAGGAAGGTAAATCTATACTACTATACAAGCTGTACACTGACTACTTTAAGTTATATCAAAGTGTCATTTCTATAGTGTTGTCCCATGACAAGATATAATAAAATATTTCCAAAAATGGGAGGGGTGTACTCACTTATGTGAGATACTGTA